CGCTTTGCTTCCTCCCGATTCTTTTATCGATCTTCTTTGTACTTTTGTGTGCAACTGTCAAACAACTTCTGATTCATTTCCATGAACAATTTGAGAGCGTTATAAATCAAACCATGGATTGTCTTGTTCCAATGTTGTTTGGTGCGAAACAGAGCAGGAAACATGATGGGCAAGATTTCCTCCACATGATCGTGCATCAATTGAAGGATATAATCATTGCTTCAAAAATACAGGGCACGTTCGGCAACCTGAAAATGAGGTAATGAGACGCATTTGGCCAATTGTGTGAACAGAGGTTTAATGATCTTGCGAAATTCGGCTGGATCAACCACATTGAGAATTTCCTCAAGCTCGCTGAGGAACATCACCTCTTTGGGACTGTGAGTCTTGGGCCAGAATTTGAGCAAACTGAGAATCACCGGTTGTGTCAAAGTCGAGTCTTTTTCTAAAAACTGGATTACACAATAGGCAAGTTGGGCGTGATACATGCTCACGGATTTCACTTTATGCAATGATGATAATTATTAATCCTCGATCAACTTCATCTCGCGGCCAGATATGGAGCGGCTTTATAACCACGAGTTCAGCGACATAGCAGACGACCGAGTATCTTTATTGAGGGACGACCGAGCAGCCCTGACTGTCGTCACCGAAACGACACGACACAACGGAACCCAGCTTGAAGTGCCGTTACCCTGGAGAACGGGATCCAATCGACTACCCGATAATTCAGAGATAGCCATCGATAAACAAACTGCCGGAATGGACGATTGGAAAAGAAATCACAGTTGAAGGAAGCCCTCTACCGCGGGGTCTTTGAATTTCGGCCGTGCTTTTCGAAATCGGACAACTATTTACGTTTTTTGCATTGGTACTATTGAGTGTACACGTTCACATCAATTCACCAATTTTTTCAGTCAAATGCTGACTTACAACTTCCACTTTATGAAATCTTTCTGTTTTCGCGAATGAAGTTGAAATTTCAGGTTTTTCTCATTCCGTGAAGAATCAATGCATACAGCTGATAAATAAACGTCAAAGTCACCATAAAAAGCATCGCGCTTGCTGGCAAGTTTCTCTCCGGCGAAGTTCTATCAAAAGGATAACCATTTTGTTCATTTGTTTGGGTAAC